ATTTGCAAAAATTCTAAGCAAAATATTAGCTACTAACTTTAGATGTATATGTAAAAATGGGTGATTTATTACAGCTAAATTGAACTACATTAAAAAACATATTTTAATCATAAAGCTAATACATTTATTTGGCAGGCTTCATGTTTAACTGAAATGTTTTTCTCTTTGAGATTCAGAATGAGATCCCATAGTATCACGTCTATGCCACATTTATTTGAAGGACCTTGTCAGTGTAATGTAAACAGAGAAAAAAATCAACCCGTTATTGTTACGTAAGAAAATACATAATTGATATTATTTTCAAAAGATGTGTTTGCACATATAGAAAATTTAAAAGAATCTACAGACAAGTTTACAAATGTAAATCCATTAAAATTGTGTGCACTCTGTTCAAGCTACAATATTTGTCTACACAATATGATTACTTTCATCAGATTTTACAAGTTTTCTTTAAATATTTGAAAATAATACAAATTTTGCTGTACCATATGTTTCCCTTTCACAAGTGTTCAAATTACACTCCCAGAATATGGTCATTTCTCAGCATATATTTTAGTAATTCAGGCTCAGGCATATGTAGCAAGAACAGCAGAATTATTTCTATACATCAACACATTGAACAGAAATGTCACACAATGCACTGCAGGGTGAATTTTAAAATCTAGAATGAACAAATTATTGGCTCTTAGGTACCAATGGAGATTTGACTCAGGATTGCAGGTTTCCAAACTGATAAAAACTGCCTCTTATGAGACCCTGATGTTTCTGGTTTAGTAACCAGACTGAAGGAATAGGTTTTAAAATTGAAGATGTTAGAGAGTGCCCTGCAGAATGGCTCCTAGTTTAAGGAGGCTCTGGGATAAAATCTCCTTCCAGATCCTTATATTAATTACCCACAAGTTCCTGTACCAGCCAGCCACCAAAAGAAACAGAACTACAATAATTACCCACAAGTTAAATGAAATACTTAGGACAAAAGTTTTACATCTCACTAATAATTTCATAATCTTGGAAAAGTTATCAAGAAAATAATTTAATATACTTTAACTTCAAGTCACCCAAGTTGCAATGGATGCAATATTAAAGCAAATAGTGAAAGTAATAAAATAATACAATATTAGAGCTTGGTGAAACCCTAGAAATAAAATAAAACAGCATAGTATTTGACAGGATTTATTTCAAAGTCAAAAACTAATTATTGTTTTCAAGATAGTATCTTCTTTTACCTATTCTAGACACGCTGATCAATCTCGAATATATTATAGAAATGGGCCTTTTCTGAAAAATTTGAAAGTAATTTGAAAGAATGTCTTAAAAAATT